AGAAGAAAGAGGTAAAAGATGAGGATTCGAAACAAGAGAAGAAGCTGAAGGGTGGTTCAGGTATAGATTGACATTATTTTCATGGACCAAACCACATGGCTAATGATTGTATGCTGAGAAAGAAAGAAGAAAAGAAGAAAAAAGTGAAGGATGAGGCCTATTACTCTGAGAAGCTAGAGGAAGTTAGGAAAAGGTCGAAAAATATTTCACTTGTGGCTAGAGGAGAAGATGAAAATGAAGGAATTTATCATATATGGGCATCAGGGTCTAATGATGAAGAAATGAGAAATCCAAGCCATGGTGGGCCATGTATGCAATATACGCGGATGTCGAAGAAGAGAATGTGACATGAAAATGCTTTGTTTTGAAGTCAAGAGATAATGAACCAATGACTGCAAAGGTACGTTCTCTACTTCAATCCTTTAACATTCCTTCATCTGCATATAATTTTGTATTAACTGAGTTTGATGCTTTTGTTACTTATGTGAATAATCTTGTTATTTCTTCTAGCAATGAAGATAAGAAAGCTAGTACTCAGTTACAAGAAACTCAAAGAATCCAAGAAAAAAACAAGTCTAAGATAGATTGTTTAGAGCTATAGATAACAAATATTATTATACATACATATAATCTTAGCACTAACAATAAGATTTTATTGAAACAGAGGAACATATATTTTAATTCTGCTAAGATACTTTATGGAAAATTAATTGAAATACATCATTCATGTGAAATTAGTAGAGAACAACATTGGAAGCTTCTACCATTCTTAGCTTTCGAAAGAGAAAAAGTAGGTGAAACTTCTTATGATTGTGAGAAGAATATTTCAGATTTTGATAAAGTTCCAAATAATAGATATGCATATGGAATTGTGAAAATTGATGAATGTATGGATTCTAATGAATTAGTTGACATTGTGAATGACACCTTAACCAAAAATGAACAATTTAAAATTTTGAAAAGAACTAAGAATTCGTTTGATATGTTTCATTTGTTGATAATGTAAGAATTGATGAATTTATATGTAAATTAATATGTTTCACTTGTTGATCATGTATGAGTTGATGAATTTATATGTGAAGTTGATGTATATATATGTTGATCATATGATTATTCGAAATATATTTTATTCTATATTAAAAAACTAAAATAAATACATCAGAGTAGATAAAAAAAATTCTATAAGGAAATAAAGAAACATTGGTCAAAAGGGTTTTTAACAGAAAAAAAAATAATAAACCATAATAAACTAACTAAATAAATAACAAATATATAAAATTGTTTTAAAAAGACAATCAAAATTGGTCAAAAAGGTTTTAAAAAGAAAAATAAAAAAAATAAAATTGTTTAAAATACTCAAAGTAGAAAAATAAATCAAAATTGATAAATCAAAGTTATAATTACTAACTTATAATTACTCAAAATAGAAAAAATTAAAATTTTTTAAAGTACTCAAAAAGGTTTTTAAAAAATCTACTAAGTTATAATTACTCAAAATAGAAAAATAAAAACAAAAATAAGTTGATAAATCAAATTGGTCAAAAATGTTTTAAAAAGAAAAACAAGAAGACTAATAATAACCTAATTAAATAAATAACAAATATATAATATCGTTTAAAGTAAAATGTTATAATAAAAAAATGCTAAATCTATAAAGTTATAATTACTCAAAATAGAAAAATAAAAACAAAAATAAGTTGATAAATAAAAATATGAAAAAAAAAAAAAGCTGATATAAATGAAAAAAATAAGTTGATAAAGTCTCTTCTTTTTAAATCATCAAAAGCCTAGAAATACCCGTCCAAAATTGATTTAGAAATTAATTTCGGGTTGTCCCCATTTTGGGACTACTTTTTGAATACCTTATCTCATTTAGGATGCATATGTGAATTACATGATTGATTGTTTAAGAAATATTTGGTTGTTATTTTCTCTTTGCTCCTCGGTATATAATTTTATATATACTTAGGAGCTAAGGGGAAATGTTGCTGAATTTTTCTTAAACGATTAATCATGTAATATACATTTGCATATGAGGTAAGGTATTCAAAAAGTGGGTTTAGAAGCCTACCCTTGTGAATACTCTCTTGTTGTCTGGTTTTCTATTCCATCTGATTGAGCAGTTACTCTATCCTTATAAATATTCAATCCAAATTCTACTTCTTGTAGAGTAAACACTAAAACCTAACTTATGTTTCAGTTGCAACATGTTTATTGATAAAACGTGAACTGCTATTGAAAACCGTAACTCTACCTTGTTCCAACGAGGACTCAAATCTTTTCTTGAGAGGTCCAAACCACATGTCGATAACAAAGGTCAAATTAGATGCCCGTGTAAAAAATGTAATGTCAATACATTTATACTACTAGCCATAATGAAATTCCATATACTTCAACATGGTTTTAGTCCACATTATATTATATGGAAGTATCACGGCGAAAATACAACTCACCTGGTTGTCGAAGACATACCGCGTAGTAACGAGATGGCCGACCTTATTGATGATGTTATGGGCGGGTGTGATTGAAAATGATACCAAGCGCAACGAAGGGAACCCAGATACAGACGGTAGCGGTGTTGATGGTTGATTTCAAAAGCTGTTAGATGAAGTCCAATTCAAATTATATCCTGGATGTTCGTTTTCGTCCCTTGACTTTTTAGCAAAGCGGATGCATATCAAGGTGATCAACAAATGGACTGATAGTTGATTCGATCAGCTTCATGAGTTGTTGCAAACTGCATTTCCTAAAGGAAACAAGGTCCCCCCGGTCACATTACGAAGCAAAAAAGACACTTAAAAAGATCGTCTTAGGTTATGAGTCAATACATGTATGTAAAAATGACTGCTTTCTTTTCTAGAAAGAACACGAGTTGTTGCAAAAATGTCCAGTTTGTAATGAGATTCGGTGGGTTGATCAAAATACAAAGGGTAAAAAGGTGGCTCATAAGGTTTTACGATACTTTCCCATGACCCCCAGACTATAACGTTTATACCGTTCAAGACACACTGTTAAAGATATGATTTGGCATAGTACCGAACAACCCAAAGATGGTACGATGATTCATCCCGTTAATGGTAATTCATGGAAAAAATTTGATATGAAGTATCATGACTTCTCGAGGGAACCCCGAAACGTACGCTTAGGGTTTGGTGTTGATGGTTTTAATCCGTTTGGTAACATGTGTAATCCTCACAGCACGTGGCCTGTCATACTCACCACTTACAATCTTCCACCATGGCTATAAGAAATATGAAACTGTCAGATGGGTTTGGATCTAACATTGGTAAGAAAGTCAATGAAACCAATACTAACATTATTAGGTTGAAATCTCATGATTATCACATTCTTATGCAACATTTGTTACCCATTGGAGTTAAAGGTCTTTTGGGGAAAGGTGTTTATACACCAATAATAGAGCTTTGTATGTTTTTTAAGCAACTTTGCTCAAGAACATTGTTGGTGAAGGATATGAAAGAAGCCAAACCAGACATTATTGAAATACTGTGCAAATTAGAAATGATCTATCCTCCTGTGTTTTTTGACATTATGGTTCATTTAGTTTTGCATTTAGTTGATGAAGCTATTTCTGGAGGCCCAGTATGTATGAGATGGATGTATCCCTTTGAAAAGTATATGAAAAAACTAAAAAACTATGTAAGAAACAAGGCAAGGCCGGAAGGTTCTATAGCTGAGGGTTATGTCACTGAAGAGGCATTATCATTTTGTTTGATGTACCTTGAAGATGTTGAGACTCGATTCAATCGCCTTGAATGAAACGAGGATGTTGTCATAGAAGAAACAAAGTTATGGGTGTTTCAGTCTAAGTGTCGACCGACTAGTGCAAGGAAAATGAAAAATCTCAGTCTAGAGGAGAGAAAACGTCTACATTGGTTTGTGCTTGATAATTGGGAGGAAGTCAGACAGTATATTGCGTAAGTGTTCTTATCTTTTATTTCATTGTCTTTTTTTAATTTCTCACTTTTACTATATATATATATATATATATATATATATATGTATATATATATATATATATATATATATATATATATATCAACAATGTAGTGAATTCAAATCATTACATCTTGAAATTGATGAAAAAACCGAATTCCCTAAATGGTTCCTTCATAAGGTCTATGATATGCAAAAACAAAAATCTCCAAGTTTAATAAGGAGTTATCAACTCTTTCAATCAGTGTGCATTTGCATGCCTTTACTTACACCTCTTGCATAGTGAATGGTGTTAGGTATATGATACTTATGCGTGACGCCCAACGATCAACACAAAACTCAGGGGTTCTAACTGAGGGAGAGAATAAGCAGAAATATTATGGTCAGCTAGAAGAGATTATCGAGTTGCACTATCCTCATAAATATTCCACCGTAATTTTTCTTTGCAAGTTGTTCGATAATGTAGGAGTTAAATCTGATAATAATTTCACCAGTATCGACCCACAACGCGAATTGAGCAGCGAAGATCAACTCATATTTGCTACGCAGGCTAAGCAAGTATTTTACATCCAAGAACCTTCTCCAAGTGACGAAAATGACACCCAATGGTGGTTTATTGAAAATGCTGATCATAGAAGAATTTGGGATCTACCAATGAATGATGTTGATCATGATCCCATTGAAAATGTCGACAATGATTCAGCCGATGTCGTTCTTAGCAATGATTCTTCCAATTTCACTCTCTCGGTTGACTTTAGCCAGTACTTTCAAAATTCTCAATCGGTTGAAGATGATATTAAAGTTGACCCACCGACGAGTATCATCAATAATGTGTCTGATTGCGAGACTAATTATGATGAGGAAGATTCTGATTACGATACTGATGTATCGGCAGGCACTGAAGTGTCTAGGGGCGGGAATGATTAAAAAATCTTTTTACATTTAATTAGTAAAATAAGGTTTGTATTTGTTGTAATCATATTATATATATATATATATATATATATATATATATATATATTCATACTGTGTTATAATTTTTCAGGATGTCATTTTGTTGGATTGCATTGCTCCATCTCATGGCTGATGTGATGGGTCATGGAGGCGACGGTGGTGACGAGCCACCACATCCGTTCGATGGAGGTTTTGGTGATCACCAAAATGATGGTAATTGAGATTTATTCTAATTCATTGTATTTCACATTGTATGTATATAAAAAATTATTCTGGCTAATATTGTATGCAGTGGTGCCTCCGAAACGAAGAGGCATGGCGGTAAATAAAAAAATGCACAAACTCTATAAAGCTAACGGTGAACGGTCTCTTAAGATAGTATTCGACGTAAATACTAACATGCCGATTGGGGAGGTGTACGAATGTTTCATTCGGGAGGTTGGGAGCTATATGTGGCAGGACATCAGTTTTGATAAAGACACATGGACAAAGGCTTATGAAGCCGAAAGGGTTGGAATGTTGCAGTATCTTTCGGTAAATTATTTATAAAGTTATATATTTAATATTTTTTAATTTTGATTTATTTTTAATTTCTTTATTTTTTTGTAGAGATGGTTTGATTTTGACGCGATTACAAATCATCCCATGGCTTCAACTTATTGGGCGCCATTGAACAATCGGATATGTGTGCAGTATAGAGACCGCAAAATATTGAAAACAATCGTTTTGATGATTTTGCAGGGAATGTGGAGGCAGCAAGGGCTCAAGCCCTTATGGGTATGGACCGGCAGCGTTGGAATGCTGCTATTGACCATTTCTTAAAAGAAAAACATCAAAAATGATCAGCTGGAAACAAAGAATGCCGGAAGAAGCAAATAGTGAAGAATCGTGGAGGGACGTGCAGCTACGGTAGTACTTGTTTCAAGAAAGTAAGTTACAATAATGTTTATTCAGTTATAACATATTTTGTAATGTTTATTCAAATATAACATATTTTGTAATGTTAAACAGAGTTTGAATAGACTTGAAGTATTTCATCATGCGCATGTAAATAAAAGAGGGAAATTTGTTGATCCTTTGGTTGAAGAGCAATATGTAAGTTATTATTACTTAAAAATGAAGTACATTGTTGAATTTTTTTTTTGTTTGTTTTAACGTATAATAACAATCTTTGTGAAATAAAGAATGCCTTAGTTGCTGAGTTTGCTCTACAAACTCATCACATAGCCAACTCTGGTGGTGATCCAGACACCATTGATTGGATCGCAATATTTGAGAATGTGTTGGGTACTCGAAGGGGGCATGTGAGAGGCATTGGGCCTAAAGCTTCTTTAGTTGCGGGTATGTAAGTTTAGAAGTGTACGTTTGAAAGTGCAGGACCTGCTTTAATCACAAGCAAACCAAGAACGGTGGAATAAAAGAACGACAACAAATTTGTGATTACTTGGTAAACAAAATCTTTTATTGCTGGAAAATCTCTTAATTCAAGTTAGCAAAAACGTAGTCCCTATTTATACTAATTATGATTGAATCCTAAAAAAACACAAAAACTTAATAAATTTTTTCCTAAAGTACCCTTGCTTTAATATCCGATTAACCCAACAATCACCCCCTTAATAGGATTTTTCATACGAGCCACTCGTTCAAAACAACGCCGATTCCTCTTCGATTAGGCCTGCCTCTTCTTTTTCCCATTTAGGACCACTACTAGAAAAATAGCCATTTACGATACGCAAATGCCTGTCATAACGAGAGGCGACGCATTTTTGCACGTCGTCTATTTATGACACGCATTTATGATGCTCTCTTACGATGCGTAATGCGTGTAAAGGAAGGCCCTGTTATAAAGAAGACGACACGCATTTGTGTGTCGTAACCTTACGACACACATTTAAAATGCACATTGAGTATCATTAAAGCCCCTGTAATAAAGAAAGACGACACACATTTTTGCGTGTCATAAAGTTAAATGTTTTAAAAATTATATATTTTTATAGATTTACTAATTTTCAAATTAAATAATACATTAAAAATCTCATAATACAAAATAAAATACCACAAATAACAAAGATAATTAATTTCGTTGATATGTCAAATACAAATAATTATTCCAATAGTGAGTAAATGTTATAAAAAAAAATGAACTCAAGAGAAGCAAAATTTATATACAATTGCATTATCTAGCTTACTATGTGGCAACAACTCTCTCTGTGTTTACTTTTGCTTGAGTCTCGTTTCCTCCAAAGCTTCTAGCCATGCCAAAATATGATATCTTAGGGTTCATGTCCAAATCAAGTAAAACATTGCTAGCTTAAATTTATCAAGTCCTTGGCGTGAAGTCTTAGATAGAAGCTTAACTACAATCTCCAATCCTTCTAGTAAGCCCTAAAGATCAATATTGACCATGTAGCAGGATCAACCTACAATCTCTTTTCTGCCTTCTTATTACTTGCGGCATCTTCTGCCTGTTTGACCAAGGTTGTGCCTTCAGCAGCAACATGTTGCATTGAGTGTAAAAGATAAAAATAGATGACAACAAATACAAATATCTGCCTTCTACTTCAAAAAAAAGTAGAATCCAACTCCTAAATCACAATCTTGTTTAAACATACTAGAGACAGGATCCAATCCATGGGGTATTTTTGGAAAATAGTCGGAACATTCTTGACAAATCATCAACCTGCAAGTGAAGGGTAGAAAGGGAAGAAACAAATTTTCACAACCAGTAAGAAATCAAAACACTAGAAGTTTCACAGTGATTGTTTATGACATATGAATTACAATTTTGGTCCCTGTGGTATATCGAAATAGCACAGAGACCAAAACTGTAATTTACTCTTATGTAACAGTAATACAACAACATACCTTGTCATCCCTAAGTAATGCATGACAAACAGATTGTTCCCTTTCGAGCAACTGGGTTGCATACATGGATAGCAACTCATTTTGAACTTTCTAAACACAAATGTCAATAACAATAAGTATAAAAAAATCGAGTCACAAATTTAAATAGTGAAAAAGAAAACCTGAAGAAGCCTTGTTTCACTACTAAAATGGAGATAGCGAGAAACTCTATCTTTCTCCCTTTTTAAACACTCTTCTGCTTGATATTCCAAAAAGGGCAATTAAAATTTATAATGAAAATTTTCAAAACCAAAGAGGTGTATAAATAATCTATTATAGGAAAAGGGTATCTTAAACTACACATAATAAAGATATATCTAACCTTAATGTTCATAATAAGAAATCAATTCAACTTGGGAATTAAGAGAAAAAACAAAAGAACACAAACCTTTGCGTAACAGTTAATTATGTATACTCTTCTTGTTCATTGAAACACAAGTATCGAGATCTACTAACCAACGGTTAGGATTTAATCATGCAAAAAGTCCCTATTGTTGCCATCTTCATATGAGACCATTTAAGAGTAGGATGAGGAGTTCGATCCGTCCATATGAGAGCATTTAAGCAGAAATTTAAGTCATTTGGTGTATCTTCAAAGTCACCTCCATATGCCCAATATTTGCTACCATTTGCATTTTCATTGAGTAACCCCTGAAACCAGATGCAAATATTTAGAACTACCCTTGTTGTGTGCCTACTTGACATGATTCACAGTCAATAATGTTGTCTGATGCATCTTTCAGGGTGACAACTAATGTATACAGATTTGGCTGCATGCAACATAATCCAATGTTATTAGATGAAGAGGTGAAAAGAAAAGTAATTTGTTTGATTAAAAGACAAGATTTTCAACTTGCTCTGCGGAACAAAGCTTGGGATTTTTCAGTTTTCCTTCTAATCGATACCCATGAAACCCTAAAGGAAAATGAGGGGGCTTCTGAAGCTCCAAACTGGCCACGTTAGTTGATAGCAGATTGGAACCCTCATTGGTATTGATATCAAACAGTGTGGCTTCAACTTTGACATCTATAATGTCATTGATCTTCATAGACTTATCAAGTATTACTTCAACCTAGTGTATAAAAACAAAATAATTCTACCATTATACAACTCTTCTTACTTTAATAGATCACGAAATTATTGATAGCGACAAATCAGTTGTGAAGATGTTAACTACCTCTAAACCTGCATAGGTAGAACTTTCGGCTAAACTTGATCTGAAGAAATAATTTGCAATGAATACCTTAACACATGCATACAACATAAGTTTGTGTGAAAGAATAGAATTAAACACTTTAGCTGATGTAAGAAAAGTTAAAAACCTTTAGCTTGGATAAAACGAGCACATCTCTATGGATGCCAGACAACCATCAATGATCTTGATCTTCAAGATAGGAAAAATCACTCCATCTATATACTTTTACAGCTAGAACATTCTTCTTGTCAAATCCACACTCATGACAAAACTCGGTTATTTCAAATTCAGCAGGTAGTCTACTATCCTGGCTGACCAAACACCAAAACCAACAGAGCTTGTGAATATGTATATCATATTATAATATTTTTTGCTTGTTTGAAGGGTATAATGGATTGTTGTCTCAACCTCAACTTTGTTGTCTCAACCTCAACTCTATTGACAACATATCCATAACCCCTTCTAATGCTGGTTTAGAAATTTGAGCATTTAAAGTTGTTGCCATTAATAAAATAACCTGAAGTGTAGTGTACCAATCAATCATCAAATCAATTTTTTATTTTTTTTATTAGTAATATATGGTGAAAATATGTATCTCATAGTCAAGAGGCTTGCAGACGTGTCTCACGTGCAACAATTAGGTAAAACAGATATTTTTCTTTTTTATTTTTTGTTGTAGGAAGGGTATATTAGGCAACATTTAAACTTTAAATGCTCCCCTTCTTTACTTCCATTTTTCAATTTCCTATTTCCTAATAATAATTAGTTATACCTGAAAAGGGTGTGAATATTAGTTGTTGTAAGGAAGCCTCTTCCATTAAGATCTAAACATCGGAAAAGATATGTAATTCCCTCTGCAATGTCTTTGTTTTCCAGGGCCTTATGCTGCCACCACGCCTTATGCAGGTAAAATTCCAATTCTACCCCTACCTAACATATCCGTTATCCAGTTTCCATAATAATAAATTGTTTGTTTTTCTGTATGTCATAGTGTTTTTACAGCTTCCAACAAGGCTCGTAGTGAGGTCTTATTTGGATTTGGAAATAACAAAAAGTCATTTAAATTCAAGAATGAAGAATCAGAGGAGGAATTGCCTGTAGATGAGAACAGCTCTAGTACCCCAGACTCTACACGAAGCTATGGTGATACACAACTTGAGATATTTCACCATAAACATGGATTGCTAATCTTGCATCTTCTTTCACTCCTCGTGTTTCTTCCATCACTTGTCTTGGTTCGAGGTATAATTCAGTATCGACTAAATTACAAATTTGGGGCCAAAAATTACAACTTTAGTCCAAATTTTCAGATCCAGTCTCAATGTTGTCCTTAGGTTTGCATTTTGTTGCGATATTTGGACTAAACCTGCAATTAACAGTAAAACATAGGGACCTCTCAAAGTCCATCTCCCGAGCATTTCCTCTTCCCGTTTTAACCCTACGCACATGCTCATCAAAAGCTATTGGACAATATAATATCACAAGTCATCTTAAACATATATAAATTATCAGATTGAAAAAAAAAACATAAAAAGATAAAATAAGAAAGTAATTCTTAGTTCTTAACCCTCTCGATAAAAATATCCGTGAGTGTCACGGCAGCATATTCTCGAAGCTCTTGCTTGCTCAGTGTTCTGTTCATATCTTTATCAAGTGCAAGGAACATATCTGTAGTGTACATGAAAATATGATGAGGGTAGTTTCGTTCTTTTATATAGAATGAAAGAATCAAATTGTATTCCTTCCATCCTCTTCATTCTAATTGTATTCTGCCTATTTGGTATATAAACTTTTGTTTCATTAAGTATGTGGTGAGGGTATTTTGGTCTTTTGGAGACTGGAAAGGATATGCTTACGATATACACGCTGTGCAGATGTCATGGAAAACCAGTTTTCCACCTGTTCATGTTCAGTATCTGTAACTTCTTCATCACTTTCCTATCATCATTAAAGAAACAATTTTTTTTTTCAAATTAACAAAAATATTGAAAGATTAATTAAAAAAATATACAATTAAGGACAAAACTGAAATTACCTGGTGCAGTTCCATTAGCTCTTGAAGACAGTGACTAAGCAGCACCTTCTTTATGCATGCCTTCCCTGAAAAATTATAAAGAAATGAGATCACAAGAATAAAATGATAATCAAAAAACTATTTTTAGTTATTTGAAAAAAAAAAGTATAACCAATAAACCTCGTCTATTGGGATAAAAAAAGAAGAAGAATTTGGGTGCAGCAATTCGGCAATACATTTGAACAAAAGCTCCAAGCATATCACGCAATTGAGCCAAATTAGGAATAAGACCTCGAATATAAGCTTCCATTTCCTTTTAACAATATTATTAAGATAATAAACAAGAAAATATAAATGTTAACTAGATTAATAGGGAAAAGAAAGTAATACATTTTTCTATAGTATCCTACTTTTATTTTCTTCTATTATCGCATTGTATTTTCTTTCTTTTTTGTATTAAAAAGTAGTGAAGAATGAAAAAGATGATTGGTGTAACATCCCAAAAATACGAGCCAAAAATTTCATTTTTAAATCACTTATTTAGCAAACATTAGAAATAAAACATTCACCGATCATATCATTTCATAAAAGATGTGTGTGTCTGGAAATCAGTTAATAAAAAAATAACAATGTCAGATTACAAATCCCCAGGAAGATCTCATAATGCGGAATACAAAGCGTGTGTGTGATGTGTCGCTACCGCGCCAGCTCCTTCCCCTTCGAAGAACAGGTACCTGAAACAAAAACTGAAAACTGTAAGCATGAAGCTTATTGAGTTCCCTAATCATACCACATACCATGCAATCACATATCATACATATTGTCGGGCAATTCTGGGGTGCCCGACTTACCCGATACAGCCATTCTAGGGTGCCGACCTACCCGTGTCAATCCGTTCTGGGGTGCTGACTACCCACATCAAGCCATTCTGGGTGCTGACTACCCATCGGCCCTAACAATAGATCCTCGGTGACTATTTCACTCCCTACTGCTACTATCACATATACCATAACATAACATATTATCAGACATAACTGGGGTGCCTGAACTACCCTTCGTTCCTATCAACCGAACTCGGGGACTGGTCCCCTCCTACTACCTCTATCGCATATAACATAACAAGCCAGCATTCAAACATATCATCACATACTGTCAGACGTATCTGGGTGTCTGGCTACCCTTCGGTCCTAACAACCAAACTCTACTACTATCGCATACAACATATCATGCTACCATATAACATATCAGGTAGTAGCAAACCTAGATGATATGACAAAGACAACCATCTATCATACATACTCCTACTAGTGGGCCGACATTGTGGCCTTAGACCCACCGCTACTGGAAGGTAACTCACCTCGAAGTAGCTGCTGAAAGTCTGCTTGTTGAGCGCCTGACTCCTGAGTTGGAACCCACGGCTAGAATTTCCATAAATACTAAGTCGGATACGGATAACTACTCTTGGGGTAAAATTACTATTTTACCCCCCATTCAAACTCAACATCCCGGTCAAAGTCAACTTCCTGGTTGACCGGACTCGTCGAGTTGGCTCGCCAACTCGCCGAGTGTAACAGCCTGGATCCCCAGGTATCTTCATTTCTTATATATTTTGACATTTTGTGAGGGGACTCGGCGAGTCGGTGGTTGAACTCGCCGAGTCGGGTCGCGGTTTTTAGCAGGGGTTCGCGTCCGGACTCGGCGAGTCCAAGGGATGGACTCGACGAGTCCGCACTGTTTAATGAAACCCTAATTTCCCGGTCCTAAGCTCTATTTAAAGGACCTTATGGCCCTCATATGCGGCCACCTTGAACCCTAAGAGCCTCCATACGTCTGTAAGCCCTTGTGTGTGTGTTTGAAGGCCTTTTGTTCTTCATTTTGTGTGATAGTGCAAGGAAAGGAGGGAGAGGAGCAAGCTTGAAGTGTTGGGGAGCTTAGATCTGTTGCTATTTCTTCAAGGGGGTCTTCTTGAGGTAACTTTCTGAGCCAATCTTCGTGTTTTGTGTTGATGGGCCAAATCTAGGGTTTCTTCTTGCATTTCTTGGCTTGAATAAGAAGTATGAGAGGTCCCATGGGGATATGGGACCTAGATCTGGACTTTAGCAGGTCCAGGAGACCCCTTATGACAAGCTTTATGCCCATCCTTTTGAGTTAGAAGTTAAACTTGCCATATTAAAGGTTGTTTCTTCAAAATAAGCCTTGTATGCATTGCATGGCAACCAAGACTGAGACTTTACGTGACAAATAAGCTTGGGAAGGCCAGATCTATGTATTTATGGAACGGATCTGACCGCAAAAGCCAGTTTTAGCTGGTGCATGGCATGGACTCGCCGAGTCTGAAGAACAGACTCGACGAGTCGCTTGAAGATTGTCCTTGAGACAATCCTGTGTAGACTGGACCGAGTTGTGGGCGACTCAGTGAGTCGCAGAGAGTTGGAAAGGTTTTGACAGGTGGACCGAGTCAGGATGGGACTCGCCGAGTTGACCTTCGACTCGGCGAGTTGAGTCGTGGTGGCCCTGTGATTCAGGCCCAGGTGGAACTCGTCGAGTCGGGGGAGTACTCGACGAGTCAAAGGGAAAATTTTGAGAGTTGGTAAAAACGCGTAGACTCGCCGAGTCACTATTGTGCACTCGCCGAGTCTAGTCCAAATTGACTAAAGACTGTTGACCAGGTCAACCTGTGTTGACTTGATTTGGATGGTCCACCTTAGTGGTACAAGTAATATTTATAGATTTATAATATCGTAGGAGGATTGCAGCTCGAGGGTTCGAGCCCGAGTGATTCCAGGATTCACGATTAGCACTTAGCGAGGCATACGAGGTGAGTCTTCTCACTATACTGTACCCGGAAGGGTTTTGACTATGTGACCGGAAGGTCGAATATGATATGGAATATATGCTTTATGTGTGTTAAGTTATTTGCTATATGTGTCATGTATGATATGTTTGATATGGGCCGGAAGGCGTGGTCATATGGACTGTAAGGTTGATGTGGGTAGGACCGGAAGGTTTACCCAGACGGGACGGAAGTCCCCTGAGACACATGGACCGGAAGGTCAAGGCCTGGAAAGGCGTATGTGCGTATGTTGTATTTTGGGAACTCACTAAGCTTTATGCTTACAGTTGTTGCTTTATGTGTTTCAGGTACGAGTGAGGACCGTGGGAAGGCGCCAGCGTGACCGTACACACACTCGGGGAAACTATTTTATCTTTTGTTATGTAATCGTTTGAGACTACGACGTTATTTTGGGAATCTAAACTAATTACTCATGTCTTGATGGTTGTAAAAATGAAAATTTTTGTTGGAAATTTTATGACGTTACAAGTTGGTATCAGAGCCTTGGTTTGAGGGATTCGGGTACACCTTCGGGCGTAACTGGACTCAAACCGGGGATTGGAGAAAATTGTTTTTACAAAAAAAAAAAATTTAATTTAAATTTTTGAAAGGTGAGACGACCAAAGAAGAAAAAGTGTGTACGGTCAGCCAGCGCCCGAACGGTAAAAATCCCCAAAATACTCTTATTATATGTGTTACGATATATGATATGATATGATACGCATGCTAGTAGACTAGGTATACATATTAGGGCTAGAGTGGCCTGATTTTGTGATGCCTTAGTCTAGGAAAACTTGCTTCTATGAGGTGCTCGAGAGCGAGTGAGTAACAAGAGTATGAAAAGAATAGAGTGCTCAGGATTCGAGGTTGGGGAGGATGACTTGGGTGAATACCGACGCGGTGTAACTGGCAGTATTAGGCCCGTACTACCAAGGACACCGGGTCAGTAGGCAGCCAAGTGGAAACCCCTGAGTATCGAAAACTGAGCAGGACTGCGTTATCGAGTGCGATTTTTGCCCGATAGGGTCTCTGATATTCTTTTGTTGTATTTCAGAGACATCATGGTTGGACCACGACACAGACCTGGCACGAGTGGGGTGACTGACGAGGAGCTTCGTCAGATGATTCATGAGGAGGTAGCTGCAGCGATCCGGGCTGAGATCCCGGAGATGTTTGGGTCTATTAAGACCACGCTGATGGAGACATTTGATGAGCGGTACGCCGCGTTGTCTGAGGCTGCCGCTGCTGCAGCTACCGCAGCTGTGGCTGCTGCCAGACCACAGGGGGGTGACTCGTTGCTGTTCCGGGAGTTCAGCAACACGAAGCCACCAGAGTTTGACGGGACTCAGGATCCGATTGCTGCGATGAGGTGGATTGCCGATATTGAGGGATGCTTCTATACTTGTTCATGTCCGGAGCATCTGAGGGTGCGGTTCGCCCTGAACCAGCTCCGCCTGGGAGCGAAGGATTGGTGGAAGTTCGTGACGGCGAACTTCACTCTCGCGGAGGTTTCAGCCTTGACTTGGGAGGGATTTACTGCTATGTTCAGAGACGAGTATGTTCCCCCGGTAGAGAGGGAACGGTTGGTTCAGGAGTTCTTGACCCTCAAGCAGGGTAATGATTCGGTTGCAGTGATCACGCGGAAGTTTCATGAGAGGGCGATGTTCTGCCCCGAGCAGGTGTCCTCGGAGCAGGCTCGGATGAGCCGGTATTTGGGAGTGCTGAGGAGAGACATCCGGGAGTTCGTATCGAACTCATCATATCAGAATTTTGCTGAGCTTCAGGCGAATGTCAGGAAGCGGGAGATCGAGTTGGAGACCCAGGCCAGGGAGGAGGCCGAGTCTCAACGGATGGATCGGCGGCTGGCTCAGTCGCAGCCGGCAGCCAAGCGGACCAAGTCCGCTGATTTGAGATCCGGAGGACAGAAGAGTCGTACTTGTGGGAAGTGCGGCAAGGGTCACGAGCGGGCATGTCGATCGGGTGCTTGCTACAAGTGTGGCAAGGAGAGGCACATTGCGAGGGATTGCCCCAAGGGATTTGTGGTCTGCTTCCATTGCAACCAGACTGGCCATCGGAAGGCCGAGTGCCCCCAGCTTCGCCAGGGATCTTCGCCTGCTGCCAGGGTTCCTGAGGTTCGGCCAGTGAAGACCGAGGCCCCGAAGGCTCGTGGGAGAGCTTTCCAGTTGACTGCGGAGGAGGTCCGCGCGGCGCCTGATGTAGTGGTCGGTATGTATTCTTTCACGTATTTACATTTATGCTGAGACATTATGCTTATATTCCTATATGCGTAGGTACTTTTCTTGTGAATCATGTGCCTGCTTTGGTATTATTCGACTCAGGTGCGAGTCGGTCCTTTGTTTCGCTGGCTTTTAGCCAGTACATCGATATCGATCGGGAGACGATGAGTCGTCCCCTGCGAGTTGCTATAGCAAACGAGAGAGCAGTATACGCCACCGAGGTGATTCGAGGATGCGTGC